TCCAATAATAACAGCACTCTGCTGTAAATGTAAGTCTGATTATTGTATTATAGCAGAGTTCACCTGGATTTATAGATCATTGTTTTACACTGTAAATATCTTTAATTAAACATTAAAAATAAATTGTATGTCAAATTAAAGCTAAAAATAATAATTTTAATTCTAAAAAGTTGTTTTACTGTATTTTTTGGTGCCCCAGCTGCCAGAATATTAACATATTTTTAGAATTATATAATGAATAATGTAAAATAAGTGTAAAAGAGAGAAACTCTGTGGTCCAGCAGCGTCGCAGCAGCAGTGAAACATCCTGACAGACACTTTCTCTACCTTCAAACCTCAGTCTGCTCTTATTCTTCTTCTTCACCTATAAATCTACTGTTACTGGGGTGGGGGTGGGGTGGGGGTGGGGGTGCTCTGCCAGAAGCCGGGTTTGCATCATTCCAGTTTTTGAAGTCAGTCAGAGCTCACCATAGTTCTGAGCTCCCGGAAAACCTGACGGCTTACAACAAATCCTGAGCGGGACAAAACCCTTCCTGTTCCTGTGTTAGCCTACAAGCCAAAACAGAGGGCACAGTTAACGGAGGAGAGGAGGAAGACGACCATGACCTGCAGGCTTGTGACATCACGGGGGGCGGGGGGGGCGGAGCCTTCATACACCAGGTTAAAGAACTTCAAGCGCTCAGATACTGAACCGTTTTATTGGACCTTTTCCACCTTGAAGCCACATTCACCAAAAACACAAACATTCAGACGGAGGGCAGGAAGTGACCACCAGACTCCTTTTAAAACAACAGTGATTTTACCTCTCAGACCACAGGAGCTGTTGGTCCGCCGCCGCCTCTAGCGGTGAGTTAGTTTGTGTCATTGTGTGACTTTAATGTTTTTAACACATTAATGCGGACACGAACTGACGATAGTTGCTGTGGATCGAGGCAGCGGTGGACCAGAAGCTCCCGTGTTCTGTGAGGTGAAATTACCACTTTTGTCAATGTAGTCTGGTGGCTTTAAAAAGAGCCACATACCAACCTCGGTTCCCCGTCGTAAAGGGCTCACTGACAGCGAGGTAAAGCGGAGAAAATATACCAAACGTAGCGTTCACTAACAGCTACAACATTTCAACAAAGTAGACTTTTTTTAAACTCAGAATTTATGCAATATATTAAATAATGTTTTATTAATTATCATATCGTATCCTATCGTATCGTATCGTATCGTATCGTATCCATACAGAGCTCGACAGTGATGCTAGCCTCACCACAAGCTACGAGCCTGTGAAACGATGGTTTATTCTTACATATCTGATCTCAAGAAGAAATACTACACTACCCACAATTCAACAGTGCAACAGCAGCGTCTCTGATTGGTAGGGTTAGCTGACGGGGAAATAACTACATAAAATAACTTTACTTTGAAGTTCAGTTAGGAGCTCTGTATTCCCTCCTGTACGTGAACAGCTAGCTTAACGCTGAAAATCTCCTCGTTAATTGAATTAAAAACAACAAAAGAATTACTTTGTCGTGTTTTTTACAGACGATTTTACTTCGTAAGACTTGATTCCAGTTGTCGGTTTTACTATGAGCTAAGTTAGCGCAGCCCTGATCAACCAAAATCCATTCAGAAAACAAACATTTTAA